GAATAAAGAAAGAATAAGAATGGGAGACTGAGTTCCCCATTTGCCTTGCTCATGCCTTGCTTTAATAATGTAATGACATTTTTATTTCAGCTTTTAGAAAAATGTTACCTTTTTTTGATACAGGCTTTGGAATTTAAGTTGTATAAAGAAAACCTGTCACTGTTTGTTTTGTTGACTTGGTTGTGGAGAAAGGCAGAACAGGTTTAATAAAATTTGTCTTTTCTTGGTCAAAAGGCGTAATTGTAAGTGACTGGAGCAGAGAAACAACAGGAGAACAAACAAAGGCTGGACCATTCAAAATTTAAAGAGTGATTTGGCAGAAAGGTAACTGAGAAAATTCATCTCTTTATTTTGAATGACTGATAGAGTGCACGCTGAAAAGTCTCTGTGCCACAGGCAAATCACAGTAAAGGAATTCTTAAGTTTTTCTAGTGGAAAGTTAGTGAAATATCCACTATGAAAGTCATTGGATATATATGAAGTGATGCTGTAATGTCTTGAAAAAGAGGTCAAGTTACCTTGTGCTTCAAATCGAATGTTGCACTGGAAACGTAATAATGTAAGATCAAAGTATTACATGTACAACCAGCATCGCAAAAATGTTGCGATGCTGTGCACAGCATTATTAAAATAGAATCCAGTGACTTGGAACCGCATCAGTTTTTTAAACTGAAAAAAACAAACAAACTAGAATTTGCGCAGCGATACATCAAAAAAGTTTGGATAGAGACAGCAAAAACTGGAAAAGTAGATGGTAGCAAAAAGAAACACCTGGAGGAACATTTTGAAACTAATAAGGTTAACTGGCAAAAGGTCAGTTAAATGACTGTGTATAAAAAGAGCATATTAGAGAAGCTGAGTTCCTCTGAAGTAAAGATAGGCAGAAATTCACCAATCTCAAAGAAATACATGGAAATTGTGTAATAGGTTCAGCATAATGTTCCTCAACATAAAGTTCCAAAGACTCTGGGTCAGTCATGCAAATGAATGCACAGGCTCTGTTCATTGTGCAATCCACATGTGGAGGTAAAAGCTCTATTATGAAAAAAAAAGAAGCCATGATATGTGAACATGAACCAGAAACACTTCTGGATTCTTTGGGTTAAAGCTCATTTAACATTGACTGAGGCAAAGTGGAAAACTGTTCTGTGGTCAGATTAATTGAAATTTGAAATTCTTTTTGGGAAAACATGGAGGCCACATCCTCCAGACTAAAAAAAAGGAAAGGGACCATCTGTCTTTTTTCTGCACTCTGTTCAAAAGCCTGCATCTCTGATGGAATGGGGTTGCATTAGTGCCTATGAAACTGGCAGCTTGCACATTTGAAAAATATATCATCAGTGCTCAAAAGTATATTAACAGCAACCTGTATTTAAAGCAACACACAGCTCCTTTGCAGATGTGATCTTTTTCAGGGAAGGCCTTTCACATTTTAGCAAGACAATGTTAAACCATCTTTTGCATCAGGTTCATAGTCCAAGGGTCTGGGTGCTGAACTGGCCTGTGTGCAGTTCAAACCCTTCAAAGCTTTTGGCACATCATGAAACAAATAATATGACAAAGAAGACAAGCTTAAGTTATATATCAGTCAAGAATGGGAACAACATACTTCTCTCCAAACTCCAGCAGCTGTTTTGTTTTTTAGTTCTATGGTGCAGCTCATTGATAAACATGGTGTATAGGTGTACAAGTCACCCCCAAAAACACAAAAAGGAAAAAGGAAAAAGAACACCTTCTTACCTGATGATAAATAATGAACCTTCACAGTAACATTTTTAAGGTAATGGATGCAATAAATAAAGTAAATGGAAGGCTGTTGAATAATGATAGGGGATTTTTTTTTATCTGTTTACCACTGGTTAACAAGACAACTCTACTGCCAGATGATGTGCCTGTGCAATGACACCACAGCATACTAATGCTTTTTTATTTGGACAAAATGTTCTGTTATTGTTCTCTGTATTGCTCTGTCTCTGTCCCTCGCTCTCTTTTGCCTCTCTCTCACTCTCTCTCTCTATCTCACTGAGAGAGAGGTTTCTATGGCAACCTGAGAAGGTCACCTTCAGGAAGTTCTCTGTGAGCTGTGCAGAATGCCAGTTGGATAATCAGGCTTCCTGTAATGACTGATGGCAAACCATAGCTCATTAGAGAGAGACAGCACTGAGCTGCAGAGAGCAGGGCGGATTACTGGTCACAGTAGAATAAAATAATAAAATGTTTATATTAAAGGTATGCTACTTAAATACTGTGTGTCTGGTGTTTGTTTGGCTAACAGGTTGTTCACCTACGACACACTTAGTGTGAAATACAGCACAATAATTACTAAATGGATGCAGGTTGTGTAGCTATAGAAGGCACGTAGCTTTTAACACTACAGTAAATAGTATAAGAAATATATATAAGAAAGAAAGCATCTCATATTGCTCATGTTTGCTTCTTGGCATATCAATTAAGTTAACCGATATATAGGGTGATGGTACCTGGCAGGACATTGTGACCTACATTAGCAGTGATACTGCAGCCGGAGTACATTATGACTCAAGATGCCTTTTGTGTATAAGTGTATGACAGCTGATTATGAAGGAAACTCCAATTTTACCACAAGCTATCCTGCAGCCCTGAAATGGTTTGACAGTAATGATAACAGGTTTGCTAAATCAACCTCTTTACTTTTGGGGACTTCCAGAGTTTGCCTTCACCTCAAGGTTAACTGCCTCATCCCCTGCAAATATACTACAGTATTTTAAAAAGTACAGCTTTGTGTTTATTTAAATAAAAAGGGGTTTGCATGCAGATTTAAGTACTACTGAGGTGGACATTTCTCATGCAGAGTAAAACTGAGGTTATGTTTTGTAAAGTTTGTATAGTGCATTTTATTAGATGCTCAAATTTATCCGTAAAATTTTCATGACACAGATATAAGATACAATGAAATGTTGTATTAAAAAAACTAAGCTGCATAGGAGTACATTTATGAAGCATAATGGCATATACATTAGCATTAAATTTCAAAAGCAGACAGTGCTTTTTTCTTGTGCTTTCTGCTGGTTATAGAAGAATGCTCTCTAAGATATGCATTACCACTTACTGTGTGTTGCCTGAAAAGCTGCAAACTGGTTACACCATTGTCTACTTCACACTGTGCATCCAAGCATCACACCCATTTCTTGAAAGAATCAAACAAGGATGTATGGACTTTTTCCTGTGTATTATGTTAATAGCAACGTGGTACACTTAATTATGTTTTTTCTTTTATCTGAGATAGTAGCAGGATAGGAAGGAACACAAGCTGTGGAGATGGAGCGTGATACTCTGTGTATTATTCTGTTTGGAAGTCTTACAGTATGTCCAGGCATTCATGATGATGTTACTCTGAGAAAACCCACCATCCATTCAAATTTTGTTGCAGATCACAAACCAATGGCAATAATATTATCTGTTGGGAGCTTTATAAACCGAATTGAACTAAACTGAACGGAACACCATGATAGGCATGGTGGGGGACCAGTACAATATTGGGCAAGTAGTTTTAATGTTGGCTGACGGGTGTAAATTTTCAATGAAATGTAAAAGAAAAATAATAATAAATAATACAGTTTGGAAAGTTCTCATTATCTAGTTACAGAGTAAAACAGCACCATAGCTATAATATTGTGCTGTTAGCAGGGTGTCATTGTTACCATGTTAAAAGTCAAATGTTTCAAGATAAACTTTCACTTGTTAATAAGCCGGTGTATTGTTTCTCATTGGAAAGTGGAACAATAACATTTTAAAAACATTTTACTGAAGTGTCCCTTCACTTGGCAAGCTACAGTTACTCTGTTTTAAATGTTTACAGGCATTTGTTTATGCACCTTTCTTAAGGTTTTATTCTAGGCATTTTAATAAGGTTGAGGTCTGGACTTTGGGCCTCTGCAACACCTTGATTCTTTTCCTTTTTGGCCATTCTGTTGTAGATTTTCTGCGGTGGTTGGCATCATTTTCCTGTTGCATGACTCAGTTTTGACCAAGCTTCAGCTGTTGGACAGATGGCCTCACATTTGATTCTAGAGTACTTTGGTATACAGAGATGTTCATGGCTGATTCAGTGTTGTGGCTGCAACAGAAGCCATTTCATTCTCCTTTGCTCTATGATTTCCCCTGTTCTCGTCTGTGGTCTTGTGTTCTTCCGCTGCAAATTTATTTCATTATACTCTGATTTATATGGTGAACCTTCTCTATAAGTTACTGGTCATGTATAGGAAAATGTTGTCCAGTTATCCTTTTTTTCTACCAACCATTCATTTCATGATGCAATGTTCAAGTGGCACTAATCTTAAATAAATATTTTTCGCATATTTAAAATAAATATCTATATTGAATTGGTAGAAATGTACACCTTATTAAGCTATTTTGCCTTGAGAGTTGTGTATTTGATTATGTCACCATAATTTATATACACTATATCTTAAAAGTTATATTAAGCACCCATATAATTGAGTCTTTTTTAGAGGGGGGGCACTTTAAGCTATTCTGTTAGTGTGCTCTAAATTATACTACACAGTAAGGCTCATTATGATTGGATAATTCTGGAT